TTCACTAAAAGTTTAGAAAAAAACTTAGATAATGATCAAAACAAGCTGTGGCAAAATACTTATATTGACCTCTTAAACCTCGTCAAAATCTTTTAAGAGTACCAACTCCTTCACCTACCCCAAAATCTCCTTGTTTTGTTCATTCCGATATCGATCCATCACTTTCACAACCATTATTAGAAATGATAAATCAATTTGATAATGGTGTCACTCAATATTCAAATTTGGCCGAAACCGCCGTTAGTGTCAGAGAAATATCAAAAAAACTTGGTAAATTTCAAATTTATAATCTTATTAATTATCTAAATTAATTACCTAAATTAATTATCTAAATTAATTATCCGAATTAATTATCTAAATTAGTTATCTAAATTATGATTATATGAATTAATCCCATTTATGATTGTTATTTTTAATAGGAAAAGCTCGCATTCATAGTGTAATGCAAGCTATCATGATTGTCACTAAACCCGGTGACCTTCGTTTAATAAATATCACTCGCGAATTAGCTATGTATTTAATTACCACTCCTCGCTTTAAAAAAGATCATGGCGTGACTGTATATGTAGATAAAAGTTTAAAAGACTTAAAGCGTTTTGATTTTCCTGGCATGTTAAATGAATCTCCTTTTGTGAAGGACTATTTAAAATTTTGGACCAAAGAATTATGTGCTGAAAGGCCTGAAATATTTAATTTTGTTCTAACGGTAATTTCTTACTATAATTTATTATTATAATTTATATAATTTATTATTATAATTTATATAATTTATTATTATAATTTATATAATTTATTATAATTTATTATTACTTTTTTTAATTCTCTCAACTTATTATTTTTATTAGCTTGGTGGTGATGGAACCGTATTATACACTTCATGGCTATTTCAGAAAGTCGTTCCCCCTGTTTTACCTTTTCATATGGGTTCTCTTGGTTTCTTGACAAATTTTAATTTTAAAGATTATAAAAATCATATAACAAGTGCTTTGGACGAAGGTATACGTGTAAACCTAAGAATGAGATTTACATGTACCGTTTATCGACGGGTAAAAAATCCTGTAAAAGCAACTCGTTGTGGTGAAACTGGTAAAATCATGATTGATTGGAACGAACTTGAATCTTCTTCCCATTCAAATGAATGTGGTCATGATAAAGACCTACCTTGTTTAATTACTCAACCGTCTGAAACTTTTCAAGTTTTAAACGATTTGGTTGTTGATCGAGGTGCTGGTCCTTATATGAGTTTACTGGAATTATTTGGTATGTCTCTTTATTTACTAATCTTCTCTTATCCATTTATTTATTTATTTATTTTGATGAATTTTCAATTTTTTTATATTTTTATTACGTTTACT